TGAGAGAATGCTCTGTGGAATTTCCTACAAGCCAGAATGCCCCTGATTTGCGGGGGGTTAGGGTTTGGGTTTAGGGTTTAGGGTTTAGGGTTTAGGGTTTAGGGTTTAGGGTTTAGGGTTTAGGGTTAGGGTTTAGGGTTTAGGGTTTAGGGTTTTAGGGTTTAGGGTTTAGGGTTTAGGGTTTAGGGTTTAGGGCTGCTTTCAGCGTGCGAGGCTCCATACTTCATAAGCAGGCTCTGAAGTCGAAGCCGCAAGGATTTAGGGCTCAGGGTTCAAGGCCTTTGTAGGTTCGTAGGGCAACCCTAATCCTCGAAAGTTCTTACATCTCTTGGGGGTGTTCATCCAAGGATTTGGGTCCAGCTGCTGCTGCTCGAAGCCATCGGCTGGAGTGAGTTTAGGGTTGAGGGTTTAGGGTTTAGGGTTTAGGGTTCAGGGTTCAGGGTTTAGGGTTTAGGGTTTAGGGTTCAGGGTTTAGGTTTCAGGGTCAGGGCCTCAGGGTTTAGGGTTTCAGGGTTTTGAGGGAACTAGGGCCGAGGATCGGGGATGCATGCCAAGCTCCCCAAGAAGGCGCTTCCGAATTCGGGCCTAGGGCTTGTGGCTTAAGCCTCCCGAAAGAGCCAAGACCCTAAATCCTAAACCCCTCCTTGATTTCTAAACCCCAAACCCTCAACCCTACGCCACAGACCCTAAACTCGAAACTCGAAACCATCAACCCTAAAACCATCAACTCTGAAATCTTAAACCCCTCAAACCCTGAAACCTAGAACCCCAAGACGCAAGGACGAGCGACATCTCCAGATTCCCCTCAGGCCGGGCCTAGGGAAGAAACCCCGGATTAGTGATATGAGTGCCCGGGGTTAGGGTGTAGAGCCTCAGGGCGTTGAAAGTCGTAATCTTTGGGGCACCAGCCTGAACCCCAAACCCTAAACCCTGAACCCCAAACCCTAAAACAAATGAAAAAATGCAATATAATATATCACCAGAAATATGAATATCAGATGATGATGATGATGATGAGGATGATGAGGATGATGATGATGATGATGATGATGTTGGCTTTAAATATAAAATTACATGATGTAACTCAATTATACAACTTATCAAATAAAAAAGGAATGGAAAGTTGACTTTATGTTTATGAAAATACTTGTATTGGACAAGATTTTCGGTTGAGAATATACTATATATATGAACTTAACAAATATAGAAATCTACAAGTGAAGAATCATTAAGAAAAGCAAATTCATTTGCAAACCCAGACCCTAAACCCTCTACCCTCTAAACCCTAAACCCTACACCCCTAAACCCTAAACCCTAAACCCTACACCCTAAACCCTAAACCCTAAACCCTAAACCCTGAACCTAAACCCTAAAACCCCTAACCCCCGACCCCAGCCCCCCCATCTTGAAGGCCCCCTTCGCCTCCTTGGCCTTCACGTGCCGCCTGAGGGCCTCTCCGGGAAGCTCAGGGCTTATTTAGGGTTTAGGGTTTAGGGGGTTTAGGGTTTAGGGTTTAGGGGTTTAGGGTTTAGGGTTTAGGGTTTTAGGGTTTAGGGTTTAGGGTTTAGGGTTTAGGGTTTAGGGTTTAGGGTTTAGGGTTTAGGGTTTAGGGTTTAGGGTTAGGGTTTAGGGTTTTTAGGGTTTAGGGTTTAGGGTTAGGGTTTAGGGTTTAGGGGGTTTAGGGTTTAGGGTTTAGGGTAAACTTCACCCTGAACCACGAACTCAAGGGACTAAAGGAGGGACCCTTATATGCGCCCGCGTTCCGCGTAGTCGACCGCCCCCCCCCCCCCCCCCCCATGGTATTCTCCCCCCCCCCCCTCCCCATGGCATCCCCCCAAACCCACCCTCAAAACACCACGGACCACAAGGTCCTCAGTATCTCCTCAGACACATCCTGGTAGCAGACTTGGCTTTTGCCAGATCTCTGCAAAAGAAAAACAGAAGGCAGAAGACAGCTTCTTCGCCAATTGAAGCTCGTTCTCCACAGCAGCAATCTGCCCAGAAGCACTGCCTGCTGTCAGCAGGGTGTATTCCGGAAACTTCTCGACCACACTGTGAGATACCACTAGCCACTCGAGGCCTTCACGAATGGCCTGAGCCCAAGCACTATCCACCTTCGAAAGCTTTTCCAGGGACAGGCAACCATCCACTGTGAGCTTTGTGTCGGAATGGGCCACGTTGTACACGAAGCAGAGTGCTGAGAGAGAAACCCTCAACCTAAACCACAAACCCTGAACCCTAAGCCCTGAAACCGAAACCTACCAATGAACCTGAACCACCACAGGGGGGAGAAGGGTAAACCCGAAACCCTAACCGCTTTTTAACCCTGAACCCTGAAACGTAAACCCAGCACGAACCGGGGGGAGAAGGGAAACCGTAAACTACCCCAAACCTTGAACCCTCAACTCTAAACCCACCGTGAACCAATGGACCAAGGGGGTCAGAGTGAAAATCCTGAACTCTACAGCCTAACCCTAAACCCTACACCCATGAACCACAGACCATGAACCACAGCGGGGGGAGGGGGGGGGGGGGCAGGAAGGGGGAGGGGCGGAGGGAGGGGGGAGGGCTGTGGGGGGGCGGGGGGCGGATGCCTTCTAGGCATCCCTCCTTCTGTCCCTCAATAAGCCCGAAACCACCTTGGTGTCACCCGCTTCTTGGTGCCTTGAAACTTTTCACGGACCCGAAGAATGCAAGGGTGCAGACCCCGGCTGCTGAAATGCACCCAAACCCACGCCCGAAACCCTAAGCCCCAAACAGTAGACACTAAACCCTGAATAGCGTGTGTAAACCCTAAAGCCATGCACCCTCAACACTGAACCCGAGCACCTCACACCCTAAACCCGAAAACCTGCGAAGCCCCGAATCCTCCTGCACCCTCTACACTCCCTAAATACCTTCAACCCCGAAGCCCCCGCACCCTCTCAACACCCTGAACCCCTAAACCCCTAAACCCCTAAAATCCCTAAACCTCGAAACCCCTAAACCCCTAGACCCTAAAACGCCCTAAACTCTAGACACTAAAACCCCTAAGCCCCTCAACCCCCTAAACCATACAAACCCCTAACCTAATTCCTAAACCCTAGAAACCCCAACACCGTAGAAAGCCCTAAACCCCTAAACCCCCAAACCCCCAAACCCCCAAACCCCCAAACCCCCAAACCCCTAAACCCTAAACCCCAAAAACCCCTAGACCCTAAAAAGCCCTGAACGCTGAAGCCCCCTGAAGTTCTCCTGCCGGCCTCGAAGCGCTCCTTGGCCGTACCTGCACGAAACAAGATTGAAACACCAGATATGTTCAGGGTTTTAGGGTTTTAGGGTCTAGGGTTTAGGGTTAAGGGTTTTAGGGTTTAGGGTTGAGGGTTTAGGGTTTAGGGTACACACGCGCACACATGCATACATGCGTACATGTGTACATACATATGTCACGAATATGCAGACATATATATATATATACGTAAGATCTGCAATGTTAGTAATAACCACATAACATATGAATAATGTATACATATTGGCTACATAAAACCTGAACGAATACATATGAACACACACACACACACACACACTGCTTCCAGGCTTGCACACGCATATGTATTACGAACATGTAGATCAGGTGCTTCGTTCGAACAGACGTGTTCAGGATTTTCTTCTGGCTGCAGTCCATGCCAGGGACCCTACAGCCAAATCCAAAAAAGGCTACAGTAGAGCCTAACTTGGGTAGTGTTACTGTTTTCAACCATAGCACTCCACAATTTCAACAACAACTGCTAGCAGCAATATCGTAAGTTCGCGAAAGCAAAGAACAGCAGTAGAGATAACCGCCGTAATCGCAATCATCGTCAATCAGAAGAAGCGGAATGTACCCTGCCTCTCTATTCCTATTATTTGCCTTTTGAACTAATACTCTTCTTATTTCCTATATCATTGCCATTGAGAATATGCTCTGACATCCTAAAACCTTGCGATCCCTTCTGTTGCGAAAATTCATTCGAGACTTTGTCTTGGGGCTTAGGATCCGAATGTGAATGTGCCGCTGTCACACAAATATCACTGCAAGCAGTGCAACAAATAGATGAAGGTCTGCATGACCATGTCAATATAGTACAGGTCGTGCTATTTCAACCAAGCTACAGAGCCGGTCCAAGTAGCAAGTGCCGCCTAGACGCTAGCCGCTATCACTTTCCAATGGTTAAACCGGATGTCATGACAGCATGTTAGTTGACAGGCCAACCTGTGTGCAGACATTGACGGTTGCACCTATGCAACATGACATGGAAGTGTCTGCGTGCGTTTAGCCTCTAGAAGACGCTTTCCAACCCACAACTGAACAGCCAAACGTTTTGAACAATCCTTATAACAACAAAGAGTAACAATTTATCAACCCATACATACGTTTAGTAAACGCGTAAGAGCAAACTAGAAGCAATACGCATTGGACTACCGCACCTCGATAACAGCGACAACAAGAAACGATCCGAACCTAGGTTGCCCAGCAACCTAGGATTAAAAAGGGTGCCCTTTTTTGCTTAAAGGGGTCTATAGGGGAACCTAGAGCCCCTAAAAAGAGAATAAGGGCACTACTGGGCATCCTAGGAACTTCAATACTGTATCCCACCCTGCGCAAACACAACAACCAACCATCTCATAGCTTCCCAAACAAAGCAACTGGTAATCCAAATCTTCCGTCAAAAAACTCGGAAAACTCCGCAATTCCAGGACCCCATGTCTCAAGCACAATCGTGCGGCAAACCCTGATGCAAAACAGTCCAAGCACAAAGTCAGAAGTTCTTTCAGAGGCATATCACCTTGCAGTATCTGAATCTGGTTGATCTTAAAGCCCTGTGATACACAAACGGTCAACCCTGTCCAAGCGAAGAAGCCGAGGAGGACGTTCTGATAACTGTAGTGATTGTGTCCAAACTAGCCGTATTTGAGATCCTTCCCGCACACACTCGAGATCTTTGTCATGCAGCTCCTGGCAGGTCGGAGTTGCGATGCCACTAGTCATCCGTCTGCTGCTCTTGCAAGAGTGTCAGTATCTGATCGAGTTTTCTGTCCATTCGATCGAGTTTTCTGTTCTGAACGGCCTGCCGGTCGGTAAGTATCTGCACCTCTTGGCGCTGGTGATACAGCTCCCGCGCAACATAGTCAAAGCCGCCCCGCATCATCTTTCGGATCTGGTGGATCCGGCCGTTTAAATCACCCGGCTGTTCGTGAGCATCACGCATCATGTTTGTGACGTCAGCCACAACATGACGTGCGTCGTGAGGTTGCATGTGCTGAGCATGTCGGATGTCCTGCACAAGCGTGAACTGCAATTGCTCACGTAAGTGCCTGAAACGCGTCAAGCTCTTTCTGAACACGTTGAGCATTGAAACGCCTCGTCGCCCAACTCATTGCATTGTATTCTTCGACAATTTGGACCGACTTCGCTGATACATCAACAAACTGTAGCGTGATCTCGCGAAAAACCTGAGCACAATCTGGATCACCAGTTTGGTCAACTTTTGCAATCAGCTTGTGCATGGGGGAAATTGTTGCTGGACACTCCAGGTCAGACTGCCCCAAAACAGGGTGAGCCTTTTTTTTCTAGCCGGGATTTTTTCAAGCTTCGTACATGACTTCTCCAACTGAGGCCAAGGTTTCCTGCAGACCGCGGCACGCAGAGCGAAGCAACTTCGACAGACAGGCCACAACCAACGGCAGAGTGCCTCTGCATGCCAGGCCAATCAAAACTGTTGTCTGTTTGGACTGCTCCACTTGATTGGCGCTCGCTTTCACTGCATTCTTTTCTCCAACCAAAATATTAACCAGAATTTTGACAAGGGTCGCTCCTGCAGAGCCGCGTGAAGCACCTAAATTCAGGCGTGATACAGCTCCTACCTGACGAATTTCCTCCACCATGTGACGCGTGCCTTCGGACAAACCTCCCACTTGATGTAAACATTCTGTAACATTTAACAAGACTGCATTGTATTGTTCTGTCTCCTTTGTACCCAACCCTTGCCACATTGATTTCAAACCGTCTGCTATCGCGGTCGCCCCAACTTCAAGCGAGAAACCTGGGAGTTGAGCTGTTGCCTTGCCGAAATTTCTGCGCATGATCTGCGAAGCACGACCCAACTTTTGACGTCGCCCAAGACCTCGAGTCTGCCAAGTCAACTTCTCCCCACGACATACAAATATGATGGGCAGCGCAGTGTCATACATACCTGTGGCAGACGTGTAGCACAATGCAGCACAAACTCCACAAATCAAGCGCAGTCGTGTCAAGTTCATCTGTCTCGATTGCTGCATGGCACACATCGGCTACGCGAGGATGACGAAAAAAATCGCATTCACTGTTTCTTCCAGACAGCTTACAGGCAATGTTGGTAAGGCAAGACCATAACACTGGCACGAACAAGCGCCATAGGAGCGATGTCAAGCTCAACAAGTGAGCACTCCAAGCAAAAGGCAGGGCTTTCAGGTCTTCAGATGTGGGGCTTCGAGGCAAACTTGATGCTGGAATGGAACCTTGTGGGTAAGGTGTCGAACGGGGAGGCTTATGCTTGAAGGCGTCAGGGTCGGTCAGGTCTTTAGAAGCTGTAGCTTCTTAAGGGTTTCGGGGTCAGCTTCGGGCCCAGAACCCTCCATCAAGACCCTCTGAGCTTCTCAGTCTGCAGCCCCCAAGATGACTTCATAGGGTAAAAATAAGCTATCCTCCAGAAGAAAGAGCCCCCGAATACCAAGACCTAAAGGAGCAAGTGCTAAGGCCTAAGCAGAGAACGGTTGTACCCCGCTTGCGGGGGGGGTGGGGGGGGCCGGATGGGGGTGAGTTGGCAACCCCAAAACCCATAGAGCCCTTCACTCCAAAGCTAAAAGATGACATGCCGCACTGGGTTTAGGGTTTAGGGTTCAGGGCTTGGGGTTCAGGTTTTTGTCATTTAGGGTTTGGGGTTTCATTAAGGGTTATCTGCCTTGGCCCGGCGGGAGCAGTGGCGGCAGGGCTGACAGGTCGAGATCCTGGAGGGTGGTTGGAACGCAAACGCAGCCTTACAACTCAAAGAGCCCAACCCAAACCGTAGGGTTTTGGGCCCTAAACCCTGCACACTAAATTCGAAACCCTGCTTACGGTTTCGGGCTGACAGCTTCAAAGGGCAGAATGGTAAGGTTCGGTGCTTAAGGTCCTAACCCTAAACCCTAAACCCTAAACCCTAAACCCTAAACCCTAAACCCTAAACCCTAAACCCTAAACCCTAAACCCTAAACCCTAAACCCTAAACCCTAAGCTCAATGATTGCCTCAAACCCCGATCGACCGATCCCTTGAACTTCAAATCCTCATTCTTGTTTTCAACACCCCTAAACCCTAAACCCTAAACCCTAAACCCTAAACCCTAAACCCTAAACCCTGAACCCTGAACCCTGAACCCTGAAACCCAAACCCTCAACCTGAAACCGCTATCCTCAACAAAAGAGCTCCTGGTGCGGGGCGACCTCGGGTTTCTCAAGAAGCTTTCGGGGTGGCGGCGCGACCTAAGTCAGGTGACGGGTGTCGGGAAGGATCCCGGATTTTAGGGTTTAGGGTTTAGGGCTTAGGGCTTAGGGCTTAGGGCTTAGGGCTTAGGGTTTAGGGTTTAGGGGTTTATCTAGAGTTTCAGGGCTGACCAGGTTGGGCTAGTGCAGCAATTCCTTGTGTTGATTAGGCCCTGCTCGAAACCCCACCCTCCCTCAAGCTGGGAACTTTGTAGGGGCTGACTATGGGGACTCTAAAGAGGATACATCCTAGGGCTAAACCTTGGAGCCGCTTTAGTGCAACCAGCGCCCTCCCCCCTGAGCAGTCGGAAGTCACTGACTTTATAGGTGGGGTCCCAGACTAAAAGGGCCCAAAGCCAAAGCCGAAACCCCAAACCCAAAACCCTCCGTGCAGCGCTGGCCGTCGATCCACCATCGGCCCAGATGCTTGGGGTTGAAGGTTTAGGAATCTAGGGTATTAGGGTTTAGGGCTTCACAATCCGCCAACCGGCGTGTTGAAAGGCGAAAGGTTCTGAGGGTTTCCTCCAAACGCCGAGAGGGGGGGGGGGTGTTCGCCGGCAGCTTTTGCACGGCCCACGCCACGGCCCTGAGCTTAGGGTTTTTGGGGTTTGGAGTTTAAGGTTTGCGGGTTTTGGGCTTACATGGGGTTTAGGGTTTACAGCCCACCAAGCCCAGATAAGGGCCCTAGATGTAGGGTTTTAAGGCTTAGGAGCTATATAAGGTTTCGGGTCTACGGTTTGGCATTTTTTCCAGTCCTGGAAGACCGGCGCGTCTATACAGGAGACACATTTTCCAGTACTGCAACAGCACTTCTGCACAGGGCCACATTTCCCAGTGCGGAAAACACAGCGCCTGCACAGGAGCGAAGTTTTCCAGTACTGGAGAACACAGCACTTCTGCACAGGAGGGACCACCAGCAAGTTCCGCAACATTTGCAGCACCTGGCCGTTCTCGACGCTCTCTTGCTTACGTAGCGGCATCAAGACGGGTCGCTCGATGTCACAACATCTGAATGCTGCTCTCCACAAATCAGAACTGCAACCAAAAAAAGGGCCCCGTTCTCTGATCGCAGGCTTACAGGATCTTATCATTACATTCGCCCCAAACCATGCATCCCAGGCCTATAGCCCACTCAGCTGCTGGAACTCTTCTTGGCTGCACTCAGGAGGGTAGCTATAAATTAAACTTTTCGCTGCCTGAATCAGAAACCCAATAAGCCCAAAAAAGGTAAGGATCTAAAGTTACAGTAAAGTACCACAAAGTCTTCATGTCTGTGAAGTTGGGTCCGGCTGGCTCCGGATTGTTGAATGGGCTTCTCACGGTCTTGCAAGGCGCAGTCCTTTCGACTCGTTTAGGGTTTAGGGTTTAGGGTTTAGGGTTTAGGGTTTGGGGTTTAGGGTTTAGGGTTTAGGGTTTAGGGTTTAGGGTTTAGGGTTTAGGGTTTAGGGGCTTAGGGTGCACCAGACGTTGGGCCCTGAATATTCAACGATCTGCCAACGAGGGCTCGCCCGCAGTATGAGAAGGCCACTGCCTTGCAGAGACAGACCCTAAACCCTAAACCCTAAACCCTAAACCCTAAACCCTAAACCCTAAACCGCTGTGCCTCCTCGAATGTCTCGCCTAAAACCCTTTAAACCCCTTAAACCCTGAAAACCCCTTAAAACCCCTCAAAGTCCGGAAACCCCTTAAGCCCCTTAAACCCCTTAAGCCTTGAACACCCCTCAACCCCTTAAACCCCTCAAACTTTAAACCTTACTAAACCCTAAACCCCAAACCCCCGACCCCTGCCGCAAATCGAGGCTGCGGCCGGCCGCGCTGGCAGCTCCGGCGGGGGTGAGGGCACGGGGACAGACTTGAGGCGCTCCGCGAACCTTGGCCCCCCCCCACGAAGGGCTTAGCGTTTGGGGGTTCAGGGGTGTAGTAGGGGGTGAGGTAAGGTTCAGGGGTGAGGCAAGGTTTAAGGGTGTAGGGTTTAGGGATGAAGGGTTCAGGGTTTTGGGATTAGGGTCGAGGGCTGGCAGGGTGTTTCGGGGGGTTTAGGGATTAGGATTACAGGCTTAGTAGGGGCTTAGGGGTTTAAGGCTTAGGTTCTAAACCCCAAGAAAACACTGTGGGTCCTGGGGTCCGGGGCTTCACATAAGGTCGCAGAGGACAGAAAGATCCCCAGCCTGTAAGGGATTCGAGGGGTTTAGGGTTTAGTAGCGCACGCAGACCCTCGTAGGACCAACAAGAATTTCGAGAGCGCCGGCGATAAGAAAAATGGTTCTTCAGGAAATAGAGCCTTCTTCCCCCGGTCCAAGCATGCCAAAGGTACCTACTTTGGTGTCTAGGGTCTATAGTCAATACCTACTTTGGGGCTATTTGGAGCCCAGGGGGTTCGATCCTCTCAAATCCCTTGACACACGAAAGCACTGAAAGGAACCCCCCTTAAAAACCCAACCTGCAGGTGCCCCCTGGAGATGTCAAGATGTCACCCCTAAACCCGAAACCCTTAGACATCCGGGGGCACAGCTCAAGCTGTCGTGCTTCCAGCTCCGCAGCCTGGTCCGCACCGAGCTTGTGGGAGGAAGCCATGACTCAGCTGTAGGTAAATAACAGTTGCGTGCAGGGTTTTAGGGGATAAGGTTGGACCGTTAAGCCCGAATCCTACACTCACAAGCCAACCCCGACACGGAAAAAAACCGGTTTCGCGTTTAGGGTTTAAGGTTTTGGGTTTAGAGCTTTGTGCCCTCAACCCCTTGTTTTTGGGGCTCTGGTTCAGGATGCGCTTGATGGCAGAAGCTGTAACAGGTGCACTAGGCCAGCGCATGTACATAAGGTTTCCGAAATTAGAGGTTTAAGTTCAGGGTATATGG